CCAAACCAGAGCAATTCTTCCTCCCCTGGTGAAAAATCTGATTTCCCTGAGAAAAAAAAAACAAAAAAACCAACAAAAAAAAAAGCTCCTTCCACCTAAATACCTAAATATAGCATTTCCAAGAGCATCCTCCTTGTATTTAAGCAGATACCTGGGCTCATCACTGCATACTACAAACTGTGACAGTTTCTGTGTGAATATTTTTAACTGTGTTTGTGGTACCTGTATTTATATTTATGTTTAGCACTGTAATAATGTTCCACAGTATAAAGTGAATGGAGTTCTATAGCGGTAGAAAAGGCAAAAAAATAAGAAAAAAAAAAGAAATAAAAATAAAGAATAAAATAATAAAAAATCTTGTGTTACACCCTCTCATGTATAAAGGTCATGTCCAGAGGACTATGTTGAGTATTTAATAAAAACTGAATATTATTTTTAAAGTTTATAGAATGGCCTCTGAGCTTCAGTCGAAACCTTTCGTGTTGGTAACAGCCTGTTAGAAAGTTCACTGATCTTCTGTGTGTTGTTCCTGAAAAATCGGCTCCCTCTCTCCTTTTTTTCTCCCTCCTTCGTACCTCTCTCATTCAAGAGGATTCCAAAAAAAAAAAAAAAAAAAAAAAAAAAAAAAAGAGAGGGGGGAGGAAATTACATTTTGCTTTGTCTCCTTGAATTAGTCTTGTTACTGTATTGTTCGGTGGCATCAGGAATCTATGCCATACCTCTCGCTTCATGATTAAAAATGGATTTCCAAAGTTCAAAACAGTATATATTTCTTATTGCACCCTCCTCAGTCAAATACCAGGTCAAAGGTTCTGCTTCTCTTTTTTATTATTTTGATTTAATTTGAGCTCTACGCAGCTGAGAATCCCCCCAGCTCTGCGGAAGGACCCACTTCCCCCCCCCCGCCTCGTCCCTCCCTCCCTCTCTCTCTCTCTCTCCCTCCTCCCGGCTTATTTCGCCCCAATAACCCTTTCCAGGGAGGGAGGGGGGAGAAGAGGGTGGGGGGGGAGTCACTTTAATCCAGAAACTCATCCTTAGGAGCACGGAAAATTGTGGATATAACGCTGGGAAGCAAACCCTGCTGCTGTGGATCGCAGGCTCGGATAACCCATTGCGAAGGCTGGATAAAAAAAAAAACCACAAAAACAACAAAAAAACCCCAAGAAACCTGCATTTTTCTCGCCTCTTTGTCACTGCTCTAATATTTTGCTGGGCTGTTCAGGAGGTTGCACTTAGCCAGGGATGATATTAGTCCCCTTCAAGGTCTTTTTTTAATTATTTTTTTATATATATATATGAAAGAACCAGGATTTGGTGTGAAGTGACCATAACCAGGGGGAAAAGAAAAGGAAAAAAAAAATTTATACATATATATATGGAAAAAACAAACAAACAAACAAACAAAAAGCAGCCTGGGGAGGTTTTTCCAGCCCATCCTTCGCTCGTCTCCAGCCTGGAATGTGCAGGCGATTTTTACAAAGCGCAGGAAAGACGGGAAAGAAACCAAAAAAATAATAAAAAAATGATAAATCTCTCTTAAAACGAAAGAAAACAAGCAAACAGCACCAACAACCAAGAGCCAAGAGCGTTTTGCAAGAGGGGAACGACCTGGCCGGGGAGCGAGGAGGCTCCCTGGGTGTAAACCAGTTGGAATTTCCAATGTTAAAAAAAATCAAAAAGGAGCAAAAAAACCCAACCAACCAACAAAAAAAGCCCAAACAACCCAACCAAACCCAAAGAACCGACCCAAAGGTATATATATCTCTCTCTCTCCAGAACCACACGTATAGAATTCAGCGCCTATAGAGAGGAGGAAGGCGAGATGTAACACCCAGCGCATTCAAGGCATTCTCTGCCTGCTCAATGGAGACGGAACAGAGAGAAAACGTGCTCAGGTCTGGAAGGCAAAGCCCGAATCGGGTTTGGGGAGGGGGGGGGAAAAGCGGGGGGGGGTCAGAGATGCCCCTCTCCCACCGCAGTCCCCCCCTCCCGCCGCCTTCTCCCTGCTCCGGACCAGAAGGGAGGGCTGGAAATTCAGATTTTAAGGTATTTATTTGCCTTTCGCCCTTTGAAGAGAGGGGCTGGTTTCTCCAGCGAAGAGCAGACAAGGAAGATCCAGGCTTCTGCCAGCAATAAATTGCAAAAGAAGGGAGAAAAGGAGCGCGGGGGGGGGGCGGGGGGGGAAAAGGTAAAAGGAATGTAAACTTTGGCGCATTGGTGGAGGAGCTTCTACGCGAGGAGCAGCCCCTGCGGAACCCGACCCCCCCAACCGCTCCCCAAAACCTCGGAGAACAACGCGGGGGGAACGCGCTTCCTTCCACCCCACCGGCAGAATTGAAAAAAAAAATACAATAAAATAATAAAAGGCATTAAAAAAGACGCGGAGGCAACGCGCTGCTTCCCCTCTTGGTTGCACTCAGAGAAAAAAGGAAAAACCCCACACTTTTCCTCTCTCTGCTCTTTTTTTTATTCCCTACCCGCGCAGCTGCGATTTTGAGACGGAAGAAATAAAGCCAAATGTGCGCAAAAAAAAAGAAAATAAAAAAAAAAGGGAAAAAACCCCCAACTATTTGGAAATTGCGGAGCGCGGAGCGCGGAGGGAGGCAGCCTGCGCGCTGTACCCCCC